TTCTGAAATTAGACTTCCTCCATAAATAAGTGATGGATAATTTTCAGAGAGATTGTTCATTTTCCTACTCAAGATTCTCTGCCTAACAACACTATTGCTTTGTCAACACATTTAATAAATTATAAGTACAAGTTTGACTTGGATGAGCCAATTGTGAGGTGTATATTCCGTATGAACTGTTATATAATGTCTAATTCTCTAATTGTACTGATAAAATTATCACATCAATATATCAATATGTGGTATTCTAAGCGAGGGCATCTGGTTTATTACAAATTCATTTCATGCATATATAACTTGTCACACAACTATCTTGTGTCCAGTTGTGATGATAAAGCTCTTCTCAATTTTCCCTGTAAATTCATAAATCCTAGGTTTACAGGGGTGTCTGTTGCTAAGAACAGCTTAAAATGTTACTGATCCTGAAGTATTTCCATTCAAAGAAGATGGAACACATTGAGGGCAACTGTGTAGCATCATATATCAAACCCGGAAAGCAGATGCTCTGGCTGACAGACAGGGTGCTGGAGTATAAGGAGCCCTGATGTAGCACCAAAAGACTTCGGTTTGCTTCTGTTTTTAAAGTGAATTAATGACTTGACTTTAGGTGGGTGACTAAAACTGCTAGCCTCTATTTCTATCCTACGGAATAGGAAAGTATACTTTATAGATAAAGCAGGTAAAACAGATTGTAAATAAATTATAAAGCAATACACAAGTGCCACACATTATTACTTAACTTCTTTTCCTATAATGCCTTTTCAGGTGCCCATTAGATACTTTTCAATAAATGATGGCATGAAGTTCTACAACAGGCCAAATACAGTTATTGGCAATCATTAGACATTTTTAGGGAGCTGCAATTTAATAATATATATTTCCATTAAATTTTATTTCTTAAAAGAATTCTATTATTTAGAAGCTATTTTCCCTTGGTTATCTGGGCAAAAACATTTCAAATAAATCTCACAAGCTAGTCACAAGACTGCCTTGTAAGATTGGTTATAGAGTTCTGAAACAAGATTGCATTGCAGTACAAAACCAGTTTTACAGTTTAGTAACCCGTTCCACCCCTCCCATTCCCCCCCCCCCGTTTATTTTGTATGAAAAAATTTGGTCAAAATCCAGCTGTATTGTTCACATGGCATCCTTTCAGCCAAAATTTGGTCTATCAGGTTTGAATCCTTCCTCCTTCAAGTAAGCAAAACTGAATACATAGTTACCTATAAATTTTTTCCCATAATATTTATATTTTATTCTGTTTTTTTTTTCTCCCTATTTTCTTTTTGGGCAAAGTACTGCCTGTGAGGGTACTGTCTGGATGCATTTGAGAGAGATTCTATTTTTAAGCTTCGTTAGAAAAATTACCTCTGTTCTTTGGGAATCATCTTAAGGGATTTATCACAGTAATTTTATTATATAGAGTTAAAACACACACTTGGATGATTTAGCACTTGATAAAATATAGTAACAAAATAGATTTATATGTTTTCTTTAATATAAATATATTGCCTCAGAAATCTCTGATTTCTTGCCATTTTCTTCCTTCTTCAAACCCCATGAAGATATTGAATTTTTACAAATAAATTAACTGTGCATAAGTAAGTTTTCCCTGTTTTAATCCCAGTCCCTGGGCCAAAACTCCTTTAAAATATAAATTGCCTTAGGATCTTTGGTTTTCACTTTCATATCAAAGACTTCTTTCTAAATCTATATCAATAATCATGCTGAGTGAACCACACTGTGCTTGGTTCATCACCCACCAAAGCAGGAGAAAAAGAATTTAGTTGATTCTGTCTGTGTTTGACTTCATGGCTAGAGGTAATCAGAACTGCTACTCAGACCAGATCCAGATCCTAGACCACGGTTGATGGATAACATTCTTTCATTTGATCACAATCTTTTGCCATTCTTTTTTTTTTTTTAAATTTTGAATCATTATCTAATGTGGTGGCAGATGGCATGTCTCTCAGTGAAATCAAAG